CTTCCGCTGATCTTGTAGCCGTTGTCTGTTCGTGTGGCCTTTGTAGCGAGGGCGAAGGCATCGGATCCGGATACAGGCTCTGACAGACAGAAGGAACCGACGGTGTTGGTGGCGAGCTTAGGCAGCCATTCCTTCTTGAGCTTCTCGGAGCCGTACTTGAGGATAGCCGTGTTGACGAGTGTGTTGTGGACGTCGCACATGACGCTCACACTGGGGTCGACGCGCGCCAGCTCCTCGATGGCGATGATGGCCGATGTGAAGTTCATGCCTGAGCCGCCGTATTCCTCGGGTATCTCGATGCCCATGAGGCCTTGCTCGAAGAGCTGCTCTACTACCGCCGGGTCCATGGCTTCGGCCTCGTCCATGGCTCGCGCCTTGGGCAGGATGGCTTCGTTGGCGAATTTCGAGACGGACTCGCCCATGAGCATCTCCGTCTCGGACAGGTGGGTAATGGGCGTCGGTGGCACATCTGAGATGTCAATGGCTTCTCGGCGTGCGGCAGTGGTTGAGAGGCATCGTAATCTGGGTGGCCATGGTGTTAGTCTCGTGTATTGTCGCCTTGGTGGTGTATACATACTGCGGGGCGGTGCGGGCAGCCGGTCGCAGGGAACGCGACGAAGCAGTAGCAACGCGGGTGAGGGGTCTTATTGAACGTGAGAAAGAAGCCATTTTTGCAATATTGGTTGAGAGTTGGGGAAACGAATGTGGCAGTCGTGAAAGTCAACGACGGAAGCCCGCCGCTCACATGCCGAGGCAGCTTAAAGTTAGCCGGCGCAGGCCGCAGCATGCATGCCATATGTCCGGGGTTGTGGAGAACGCCCGTCACATGTCAGCCGCCACCAACCATTCACGTACTGTGCCGCTGCGCTGCTGCAGAGCCGCATGCCGTCAGATCTCGACTACACAACATCAAGCCGTGGTAAGTGTATTGCAAACTAAATACTAAGCTATAGCCTTGGTCGACAACTAGCAGCGCAAGGGTATATGAAAGGACGGCATGCAAGAAACAAAGAAATCAACTGGTCGTAACACTGACATGACAAGGGAACAACAGCCTCTATTCAACAAGGAAAGCTGCCTTCCAGCTGCAAGAAAACCCCTTCCTATTAAGAATTGTTATATCCGCAACTCCAACTACGCCCCCTTCGTGGCTTCTAGACGCGGTTGTTGGACCCCATGGCAAACCTGCCGGCCTGCATCTGCGCCTTGTACTCGCTCAGCTCGGCAGCCTCCTTTTGCTCTTCGGCAAGGAGTGCTTGCGCTTCCTTTCTGCCTGCGCGGCGCTGCTTGATGCAGCAGAAGAGGATGATGATGGAGGCAATGGCTACGAATCCGAGGATACCGGCGATGATGCCGATCTTGGCGCCCTTGGAAAGGTCGTTGAAGCGGTTCCTGACTCCGTGGGGAGACTTGATCTCTTCGAGGGTTTCGGATTTGCCCCTGTGTCCTGTTAGCTCTGCGTTGGTTGGAGGACGGACGTAAACTTACTGAATGACCTTGACCTTCTCCCAGTCACCAGATGCGTCCATGCCCTCCCACGAGTACTTGGCAGCCTTGGTGTAGTCTTCCGCGTAGACGGACTGGATCGTCATGATGTAGGGACTCTTGTCAAAGTCTGTCACGCCGCCAGCCCACTCAATAACACCAGGGTCGTTCTTGTTGGGGTCACCCGCAGCCCACGATCCGAGACGGATGTTCATTGGTGTTTGAGGGTAACGAGTGCCGTTCTTAGCCTCCTCTGGGGTGAGCTCCCTGACCTCCTTGTCGTCCACATACCACTTGATGCGATCCTTCGTCCAGTCGATGGTGTAGTTGTGGTAGTCGTCCTGGGGTGCGAAGCCAAGATCAAAGTCCTTGCCGCGGTCGTAGGTCTCGGTGTCGCCCTTGCCGAAGTAGTTGGTCAGGATCATCTTGTCGTCGCCGCGGAACTCCCAGTCGATCTCGTCGAGCGCCTCGGACTGCAGGATGGCACTGGAGATGATACCCTTGCCGGTCGCAACCTTCATGACTACCTCGAGGCGGCCGAAGAGCATGTAAAAGACCGAGTTCGCCGTCGGAGAGTCGCCGGATCGCTCAATGGCAAAGGTCGCGCCCTTCTCGTTCCAGTCGATCTTGCCCTGGTTGGGCATGCGCCAGATCTTGTCGTTGTTCGGGATACCAGTCTTGTTCCAGTTGAAGGTGGCGTTCCCGCCGAGCGCCTCCATGTCGGGACATCCTGTGGTGTTGAGCGGGTTGCCTGTCTACGTCAGTACGTCTGTCGCAAGTAGACCTCAGGTCGCGTACAGTCGGTGTGAGTCTGCGCAGTGGTGGTCGAGATAAGGCCTGCGATAAGCGCAGCCGTGGAAAGGGCGAATGACTTCATCTCGGCGTATTACGATGATCTGTAAGCACGATGTGTAAAGAGCGTGGTAATGCGCGTAGACCAGACGCGCTGTTGGTGTTTGTAGCAAGGAGCGACTGGGATAGCGAGTGCTGGGTAAAGAGTGGATTCTCGTGACGAGAAAAGGAAAACGAGGGGAAAGTCGTTCAAGGGAGCGTCAGGGCCGCGTTTTAGAGACAGCGTGGTGAAGAGCATTTGGGGTGCTGCCCTGCACGCAGATTTAAGGAGTCGTCTAGTGCACAAATGCTCCCTGCCGCTCGCTATTGGTCGGCCGACCTTAAACTACAAACGGCGCTTGTCGATCCCCGAGAATAGCGACTCTCCTGAGCGCTTTGTGCATTCAATGGCTTGCTGTCTGAGGACCTGTTCATTGAACATTGCACTCGCCTCACTCGCTGTCCGTTATCGTCGTTTGGTCTCGAGCAGGCCGCAAACGACTCCCCCAGCCGCTTGTGCGACCTCGCGCTATCGTGTCTCACCTGCATACCGCGGGTGGCTTTGCGCCAGGCCGGGAGCCAAGGAGATTGTGAAACACCAGGCACGCTGCACTGCGACCCTTGAAGCGACCGTCTGCTCTCTACGCCACTCGCGCTGCCATGCGATATGCCGCTGCGATAGCGATACGATGTGGAGCACGAATCCTAAACGCTTAATGGATCCGCATCGTCATGGCCCACCATTGCCGGCCTGCGCGCCACTCTATACGAGCCGAATTGCCGTGCTGCGTCCTGAGGGAAAAGGCCGTTTGACCGTGCCAAAAAGAGTCCTTCACCCGTCCGTGCTTCTTCTCACACAGTTGTACCCCGCCGAGCCACCTCCTCCATAGACCTCCTCTCGGCGTCATTACGCTCTCCGTGGTTTCCATCTATCGTATCCGGGATTTCTCTGCCATCGACCGCCGGCACGAAGAACTTGCCCCATGCAAATGCAGGACCGTCCATGGCAAACCTGCCCTGCATGCGCCAGCGGCCCATGTACACATTGAGTGCGACGAGGACTTTGGCGAGACACGTCCAGTCGAAACCAAAGTACAGCCCTGCTCTCCCATCAGAGACGACGTACTTGTGCCAGATGCCCCAGAGAACGATGTATTCGGCCTGATCTCCTATGTCGCCATCGTCGACCGTCATCCGATGCCATTGCAGCAGAGCCCGCATGACCTCGTTGCACGACTCCATGACCTGGCGCGGCGAGCGCGAGTGGATCACAGCCAACGTTTCGTATCGACAGCCAGTCTGCAGGAGTTGTATACACAGGAGCGCCTTCTCCATGCGACTCATCGAACCCGAGCTCGCAATGAAGCCTGCATTGCTCAGCCACTCTTTGATCGCTCGCAGCTCGTGAAGCTTCATATAGTGCAGATATGGCAAGACGAAGCGAGCGTCCTCGATCCCTTGCATCGTCATCTCAGTGATCATGAAGCCGTTGCAGCTACCTCGGCGCTCTTTGTACGGGTCGCGCAGGACAGGATTCATGTTGGCTTCCTCTTCTTGTACGCGCAGCTTGACTTCGTCTCTCGGTTGCGGGAACTTGAGGGGATGCGTGGTAGGTAGGTGTAGGCTCTCCGAGCATTGCGACGGCGCTCCGTGGATGATGAGGCGCGGTAGTTGTCTCAGCGCCTCGAATGCGTTGGCACGTCCTGCTCTCTGGACTGCAGCTGGCGGTTGTATATCTCCAACTGGTAGGCCACCGGACATGAGGTATGTATCCTCGTAGTGGTCGCCTTCAACAGACCGTCCACGCACGTCAAGAGCGTCATCAAACGCCTGCTTCTCTTCCTCCGCGTCCCCGCGAACATACGCTTCAACCTTCCCATTATCCGTCGACGTATTCCTCCTCCTTCCATTCTGCGGGCCCGATATCCTGCGCAACTTCACGCCGGTATCGCCGCCGCCCTTCGGTCCTCTCAACCTCTCTTCAAGCTTGACCACGTTCTTGTACGACCGCCAAGCATGTCTCTTCGCATCCTTGACCAGTGCCTCAATCTCATCTCCAATTTCGCAGTATAAATTCGCATCGAGCTTCTCTAGATCGCGGTGCGCACTCTTCAGTTCGCGCTTGATCTCTGTAACGCGGGTGACGTTCGATCGTTCGTGTTCGGTGAGGCCTTGGAGCCATTGGATGTAGCTGCTGACGCCGCGTACGTAGTCTTTTATGTCGTCTAGTCTGTCTGGGATCGTGCCGACGGAGGGGTGCGGTGCGTGCCGGCTTTTCGGCGCCGTTGTGCGTTCGTTCGATTGCGGTTCCTCTGCAGTGGGCCCGGAGGTCGTTCCTGCATCTGCATCTGCATCCGTACCTGCACCTGCCACTATCGATCGGCGCGGACTGAAAGGATTGTAGAATCGGCCCATTGCGCTTTCTAATGGCTACGCATGTCGTGGCATGTTTCTGTCGTTGAACCCAGGGTGGCCACTGCCAAAGCGCTCTTCGCTTCGTGTACCCTTAGAGATCCACCTTTCGTCATTTGTATGGAAGGACATCTGGTAGGCTCCACATAGTTGTTCCAATACTGACAAAGCTGCGCAGCCAGCGTAGAAAAATGAACATTAGATGCTGAGGCAGTGCGCTGACTGCTTAGGTTGGAATGTGGACTTAATTCCGAAGATACCAAACTGAACATCTACTTCCTCCCAGCAACATCCCCCAGTTCAGTCCGCGGCTTAACAATCGGCTTCACCTTCCCCCTCACGCGCGTCCTTTGCTCAAGAGCATATGCCAGCCCAATAATCTTCGCATCACTCCACCTATCCCCCAAGAAACTGAACCCAAACGGAATACCTGGCGCCGACTGCACCAACCCATCCGGATCAACCACAACCGGCTGCTCATCCCCCATAGCCTCCATCGGTATACTCACAACCGGCGCCCCAGCAACAGCAGCAAAGGACCAAGAAAACTTCGACGGCAGAACAACTGCATCAAGACCGTGTCGTTTTATCGTTCCGAGTAACCCTCCTTCGCCTTCATAGTACAGACCTTTTTGGTACGCCTGCCAGAACTCCGGAGTCGTGTTGTTCCAGTTCTCCAGTGCGAAATCCCAGACTCCTGTTGATTTGGATGGGTAGCCTTCTAGTGGGCTTTGACGTGTCCAAGCGCGTAGTTCGGGGAGGGTGGAGATGTTGTGCGGGTTGTAGGTGAGGCGTTTGAGGTACGACTCGATGTTGACGACGAAGTCAGCGGACATTATTTGTAGGCCGAGGAGAGTGTCGTTTAGGAATGCTTGGGCGGCTGGGAAGTCGGTTTCTAGGATAGTCGCGCCGGATGAGCGGAGGATGTCTAGGGTGGCATTGAATGCTGCAACCATGGATACTGTTGTGTTGTCTGACATGAGGTTGATCACATTACGAGGTACGCCTAGACGTGCACCTTTGAGTGCAGTGAGTTTGCAGGCGCCGACAAAATCTTTGTCGGTGTTATCTGGTATAGCAGAGGTGTAGTTGTCGTATACGTCGGTGCCTACGATGCTTTGGAGGACGTACGCGGAGTCTTTGACAGTTTTTGTTAGGGGGCCGATGGTGTCCATGCGCTCGCTGATTGGTATCACGAGATGCCGCGAGGTAAATCCAACGGCTGTTTGAGTCAGTTGGTGGTTCAATCTTAGGTCCAGTTCCGCGTACTTGGCTTCATTCCTACGACATTGTTGACACTGGCGGGGTCGATGATTGAACCATAAGTCTCGCCGCCCAGGGTGACGGTAGCTAGACCAAGCCTTCCATAATTAGTCGGTACCTGTCGATCGGAAGCTCTACTCACGAAGCCGCGACCGCACTTCCACTGGAGCTGCCGGAGGGATCTTGATGAGGATAAAACGCTCCGTATGTCTGTCCGCCATACGCTGACCAGCCGTTACTCGAATTCCATGGTATCCTAAAGCTGCCCCATTCGCTGGGATTTGTCTTCCCTAGGATGATGGCACCTGCTTCTCTGAGCTTCCTCGCGACAGTCGAATCAGATGAAACCTTAGCTCCGACGAGCGCGTAGGATCCAGCGGTGTTGTTCATCTTGTCGTTTGTGGCGATCTGATATCAGTGTTAACTTTCTGGCAATGCAGATACGTGTTGCTTCAGTCGAAGTAAATTACTCACCGTGTCTTTGATGAGTATAGGGATGCCATGTATCGGTCTGGAAGTCAGCGGATATCGTGAGTATCGCAAACGTTGTACTCACCCTCGCACCGTACCTTTCGAGCGCTCCTCATCAAGTGCAGTCGCGATATCCAGCGCATCAGGATTGACTTCGATGATTGGGCGCAATATATCGTTCACTTCATTGATACGAGCGATGTAAGTCTGTTTGGCAGCGTTAAGCAACATGTTCGGGGATAGAGTTCAATGTCAGCAACTTGCCTTGACAAGATCCACACTGGTGAACTGATTGCGCTGCAGCCCTTTTGTCACCGTCTCGATATCGGCTTCGTACAAGCTCGGGAACTCACCTCCTCCGGCACGTTGATTGAAGTACCAACCCGAGCCTGCGCCGCCGATGATCAGTGCGCCTAAGAGGATTCCGTAAACCATGCTCTTCGAATAACCACGCCGATGAGCAGTGTTATCGCGGGACTCGTCTGTGGGTATACGATAATATGACGGGTTCGCAGGGGCGCAATTGTTGAGTAGTCTCTCAAGCGGATGCGGTAGCCACGACTTGATTGGCTTGTCTCCGGTATGCATGGGATGAAGTGTCTCGGTGGAAGGCTTCATAGTATTGACCATGACAAGACTTCTCTTTTAGCTCGCATGCCGCCACGTTCGACAAAGCTGTGCATAGTTGTGTCCTAGAAGTTTGTACTCAGCCGTGGTAGGAGCGGGTGACTAGCGCGGAGTTCGGCCCCGCACCTGCACGACGATGATGGCAGCGAACAAATGCATCGCAGCTTCCTTTCTACACCCCCACCTTATACAAGGGAAAAGCCAAACACCCTAGAGCCTACTTTGACGTTAGCTCCCCTACTTTGCAAGTTTTCGTCTCAATGTAGGCTCTAGGGTGTTCAGTTTTTCTGTGCATGAGGTGATACGATCCAAACCCCTCCGTCGTCGCCGCATCGACATGAGTGGCTGTCGAGAGTATCTGCATGTCTCACGCTGGCATGGCTGTCACTGATAGATTGTTGTTTACATCAAGTTATTGCGCTTGTTCGCTACGATGAGACCAAACTATGATAACAAGCAAACAGATCTCGTCTCCAGTCTGACCTGCACACCTACATCTCTTCGCTTTCACCGCCGCCTTCACCTTCGCCGTCCTTCTCATCATCCGAATCGCTCTCGTCAAACTCTGTTGTTGCGTAGTAGTCCAATTGCCAGCTTTCGACTTCCCTCCGGCTTGGCCAATGTTTCCAATCATACCAATTCAACACGATCGAATCAAACCTGTGAATGTCCAATGGATAGCCCAGGATTCTGGGAGACCAACGTTCTATCGAACCGGCTATTCGCTGCCACGCTCGTCCATGACCGGCTAGTTGCTCTACGTCTTCTTCAAACGAGCCCAAGACTCCTTTGCAACGGCAGGCATAACAGTCTAGATATGCGTGCACAAGCCCGTTGAGGATAGTGGCTATGCGGCCCGAGGCGACGATCCCTAGATTATCATAACCTTCGTCCCCGACCTGGTTAAAGCAACACATACTGATCAGAGGTCCTCCTTTGTCGCCATGATAGTAGGTGGCAACTCGCTGTGGTGTTTCGCTCCAATCTTGCCATTCGAAGTCCACTTTCATCTTGTCGTCTTCTGATGTCGTTGGGAATAAGAGAGTGGAGAGAACATTGATCAGCTTCCTCATCTCAGGCTCGGTGACATCCCTGCCATCGTCTCGGTCTAACTTTTGTAACAAGGAGTCTGCCGAGTTGTCTTTACGCCATGTCTTCCAAGTATTGTATGCGACGTTTTGTTGGCTGCTCAAACCACACTTGCCCAGCGAAATTCTACTCTCGATCTCATCAGCAAGTTGAAGAGCATGGTGACCTTCTCTACGCAACGGCGCTCGCTTCCGATATCCTGGCTGACCAGGAATCCCTTCGGCAGCAATAACTTCCCCAAAGCAGTGCGTACATGCGGGCTGGTTCTTCTTTTCCGCTAAGCGCTGCGACTTCCTTCTTCCTTCCAGCTCGGTAATCATTTCGAGAAACTCATCAGTCGTATCAGGTGGCATTTTGCGATACAATGAAGTGAGAGTGGTCATAATCGTTGATCTTTTGTATTTGTATTGACAAGACTATGGGGCTTGTTACTTCCTGGTTTCTTTGGTCCTTTGCCAACGGCTTACGCGGCAGATATATAGTACTGTTGGCGTAAGTTTGATCTTGCACATGACCTCTGGAAAGCTTCCCTCATTGCTTGTGACCTCAGCTTGAGACATCTTCCACATGCTTGTTACGATCGTAGAGGATTTGAGTGTTCGAGAGGCAAACATATTGGCGTGCCTTCGCACTGTGTCAATGCGACTTGCTGAGGAACACCCTTCTGCTTACCAAGCTCAACATAATCCCCAGTGTGTACATTTACAAGCGTCTTCATCGTAAGCGAGACAGGCGTCATGTCATGCAATATTTAGAAGACGGACGAGTCAAAAGAGCATATTTCAAGATCAATCTGGTAAATCCTCTTGCCAGTAACAACATCGCTAATGAAACTTGTAGTAGCTCTGCCCGACACTGCTGTATGTTATGCCCAATCAACACACCAGTTCCCACCCGTCAGCTTCATTCTCCGTAGGCCAGAACAGCATATCATCCCAGTTGTTGACAACAGCCTCAAAGCGACACAAATCAAGCGGAAGACCAAGTGTACTAATAGCGAATCGTTCTACAGACCTTGCGATCCTCTGCCAAACTCTTCCATGTCCGCCCAACTGCACAAGGTCTTCTCGGTAAGATGGACAACATGGGCAAGCATAGTACCCGACGTAGGCATGCACAAGCTCATGAAGCAATGTACTCAGACGAGACATGGTCCTGCCATTCAAGTGACGAAAGGCTCCAAACGGTCTGACTTCCGATGCGGATAGTCTCACTACCGCATATGGTTGATCTGGACCCGCGCAAGCGCAGTCACCCATGCTAACCCGATCAGATGATTGGTCTGACCAGTCAAACCGTACTTCCATCCTATCCCATGGCGTAGTTTGGAAGAAGATTGCTGTTAAGAGGATGATCAGTCTTTCAATTTCCCAACCTTTTACGCTACGGGCGTCTGGGTGACCGAGCCGCTGCAGCACTGCACGTTCTGAATGGTCTTCGATCATGCCATTGAGAACGTCGATGGCTTTGAGCTGGGCATCTGTGAGATGTTCGCGGCTGGCTTTTGACCCATGCATCATTAGATCGCTGAGTTGACAAGCCTTATGCCGCCAGAAGCGCAATGGCGTCCGCTCGTCGGCCTGGTTGCCGAGCTTGTTGGGGACGGATGTGGTTTTGATGACAGTGTTGCAGCAGTTCTTGCATGCCCTGGGAGATATTTCATCTTGCGAGAGCTTGCCAGGATTAGTTTTGTGGTACTCCTTGATCATGTAAAGAAACTCGTGTGGCGTTCTGGGAGGCTCGCGCCGAGTACTTTTGTAAGGACGAGAACGCGATGTCAGCTTCTCAGTCCTTATGGGTGGCATTGTTTGATCTCTGCTAATGGAGAAAGAGTACATCAACACATGTCCGCCAATGCAATAAACGGTACTTATCCATGTGGGTGATCATTAGATGTCTCGATGTGAGCGAGACATGGAAGACCAACAGATCCGCACGGATACAAACGATCAGAGACATGCGAAAAGGCCACATGACATTGGGGCTTTTGCTTATACAACAATGAACGTTTGATTTACTAACTACAATACACCAAGAGGTTCACTCTCCCTGACACCCTACGTTACCGTCCGTTCCAAATCCCACTCTTTGACTTCTTGCTGAGTTGGCCAATATAGCGGTACACCCCAATTAGCTTGTATGGAGGAGAATCTTCCCAGAGTTAGCGGTAGGTGAATGAAACGAGGAGCATTGTGTTCCACCGAGCTCGCAATCCGCTGCCACGCTAGTCCGTGTCCCTTGAGTGATTCAACATCTTTCACAAACGATGGGCACCTACAAGCGTAGATACCCAGATATGCGTGTACCAGCTCGTGAAGAAGGGTGCTTAGGCGTGACATGGTTCGGGCAGATAGGTTTCCGTGGGGCGAAGCATCCATGTAGTTGAAAGCCGACATTTCAATTTTGGGGTGCACATCGCATGTGTAACGGCCAAAATAATCGTCGTTGCAGGTTTTCCATTCAAAGTCAAGCTCCATCTGATAGTCGCGGAAGAAGATTGCTGACAAGAGCTTTATTAGATACTTCATCTGGTCCTTGGAGACGCTACTTGCATCATACCACCCTAGTCGTCGCAGTAGAGAGCCCGTTGCTTTGTCCTCTAGCAGTTCTTTGAAGGATGCGATCGCATCTAGCTGCTCGTCATTGGCAAACTCAGGTCCCTCTGACATGATGGCTTTAACTTCGTCGGAAAGTCGGATAGCATGATGGCTGGTCCTTCGCAGCGAGTCGCGCTTACGTGTTTGGTTTCCCAGCTTGTTTGTGTACTTTACAGCGCGGATGGCTTTTTCACAGGGATTGCGGCATTTCACATTGTTTATCCAGGTCCCGAGCCGCTGGTGACGGGTTTTGTTGTGACGATCGATGATCATGTCGATGTATTCCTGTGGCGTCTTCGGACAATCAACGTCGAGAGAAGTCATAGACAGGTTGTATGCATCGCGAGGCTGTCTACACATGATGAATTGGTTGTTTTCCAGAGAATGGCTGAGCGGGTTGTTATCGGTTAAGCTACTTGCTTGCGATGACATCGCGTGGTCGCTATATACGTACTGGGCCGTAAAGTCTCACAACATTTGAGACGCCCCAAAGCTCGGCCACAGCACGTCGCACCAGATCGAGACATTAGATTTCTACAGTGACGTGAATCAGTCGTAAACACATTATTCGAAACTCTGAGAGCTTTCCTTCCGCGAGTTTTACAGCTGGAAAGGTCTGGAGCCGGGTACCACAGAAGTCGTGAACAATAAGCTATAATCACAAAGAAATAGCTAAACAACTCTTGAGATATGAAGTACGATCTATCTGCGCCCTTTTCGGCCTCTACCCACTACCGTATACTCTACTATGGCTTCAAACGGACACAGCACCGCCCATCCACCCATAGCACCTCTAACAGGACCCAAAGCAACCTTCTACGACCGCATCCTAACCCAAACCTTCGTCAAAGATTGTCTCTGCGAGGATTGCGCAAGAGATCATTACCTGAACTACCCCTACTCTTGCTACCTAAATCATCCCCCAAACGAAATCCCCATCCTACCCCTCCAGCGACCCACCATCATCTACAACTCCCGAATGAGATCGGGACGATACGAAGCCCTCCAACTAGTCCGCAGCTCCATCCAGTACTTCAGCAGACCAAAAAAGGAATTCGATATCGGGCAAATCCGATCTGCATCGGAGATACAGAAATGGCTCTACCATCAAGATCTAATCGTGAGGCTTGGATCGCATGACATACGTGGCACTCTGACCGTCGATGATATGAAAGCACTGATTAAGCATTTGCTATGTCTGTTCTTCTTCGGCGCAGCAATCCCGTTCGATTTCGCCTGGCACAGCCATTACCTGGAAACCAATGTCAACTCAAT